GGACGGAGGAGGGGGGGAGATGGGAGAGGGACAGGCAGTTCCTGCCTGCTATCCTGCACAGTTGCCACTGGATTAGCACACATAGCCACATGCACCCCTGCACTCCTGCCTCTATCAGAGGCAGCAGTGACAGTGAGGCAGGAAGGAGCACAGGCTTACTGGTTAACCGTGCAAACAGTTACACTTTCACATCTCTAGTTAATATAATCAAATCTGATGATTTCCCTGCATTTTAACCAGATATATACCAACAGACTAAACTATTTTAGTCATTTTTCCAAGTAGTATAAAGATGTATCTTTATGAAATGCATGTATATTTATGACATATGGCCTACTTACTTTTTAGGGACATGGGCAACATATGGGGCCCAGAATCATTGTATACAAGTATTTCAAATTCACAAGCCTTGGGCTCAATTCTTGTCTCATTCAAACTGATGTATAGCAAGAGAAACTCCACTGATTTTAGTGGTGTTGCAACTGTGTAAAACTTACAAAAATAAGGAGAATTAGGTTCCATGATTTTGAACAAACATTGAGATCTGTATTCCAGTGGAGAAAAGTGACATCTGCTCACATATGTACATCAGCCCACTCTACAGTCTCCTTATTCTGATTTTTTCCTCATCCCCAATACAGCCACTTATGACCCAGTAACCAAACCTTCAGGGCTGCGATTTTGTGCATGTTAAATAAGATACTTTTCTCTCATTCAATTAAAGAAGGTGAGAATCTAAGGTATTTTGTATACAACTAAAAATGGAATGAAACCCATAGTTGCAACAATGCTATTTTACAGATTAAACAAAAAATGTGTTGTAAATACAAAAGGTGCTTTTACTCTGAGAAAGATCTATCCCTCTTTAAAGGGAAGAATAACAAGACTTCTAGTAATCTAAAATTTTCTATTACACAAGAGAACGCTATCCTTAGAACAATAACTATGTTAAGTGCATTGTTTTTGGTATCTCTCATACAGCACGAGGAAGTTTACATGATGCAGAAGTTCATCTTTACCATCAAAACTAAAAGGTTTAGAGTGAATCAAATCATACATAGCTCATACTATTCCTTAAAATAAACTATCAAATCCCAATAACTGGCATGCTTTAGTAACAGAAATAAGGTTTAATGAAAGACTGTGGGATGCGTGGTTTAGTGGCTAAAGACACTAGGCTTCAGTTTTAGGAACCCAGTTCAACTCCAAACTGAGGCCTCAAAGTGAACATTTTGTTTGCAGAACCAATACACATCACTAAACTGCCACACATAATTTAACAGGATTTGAAATAGTTGTCATTCACTGCTTAGAAGAGATCCAAACATGAGCAAACATGGAGGGTGAATACACTTTTCTTGCTCAAAAGTAATGTACCTCCATGTTAGAGTTAAGGTCACCAGAAGGTGGTGAGAGGAAATTTAAACTTTAATGCCAGAAACAAATCGAATTAACAGATAATTTTTTTATAACTAAGGAAGCATTGGTTCTGTTGCATACTGAGTGAAATTAAGTTGTACAGGCAATTTCAGAAATAGATATTATATGTGACTGAGATTATTATTTATAAAAACATTATAAGAATAAATGTTTTAAAAATGATAAATTAGAAAGACTGAAAAGAAGACAAACCCAACTGGGTTTAAAGTTTATAAAGTCTCTCAATATTAGCTAATCTACTTTGTGTCATGGCTGTCCTTTGAATTCTATATGTTCTATATGTACAAATTGGATAGCACTGAGATAACTCAGTGTGATTTGCAGTAAGATTGCCAACTATTAATACACCCATTAACTTCATTTCAAATAATTTCTTCTTTGAAAAACAGCATAACTCTTATTAGAAATGCAAAGTCCTGCATCTTCTGTTACTTCAAATAATAAATTGTTATCTGAAGAGTGGTTTCATAAATAGTAGACATAATTAATTAAAGTAAAATACATTTAAAATGGCCGATAATAAAACTAACAACTTTCATCAGAGCTATATAAAATCATTTAGGCTTAGATCTGAATAGCAATGGTTTCATTTGACAGTACTAAAAGTATATCAAGGACTAAAAATATAAAAGTTCAAAAAAGATTAGGATACATTCAAGGAGAATATATATACTAATAGCTATTAATTAGAATAGTCAGAATGCAACCCTCTGCACTGGGTGCCCTTAAACCTTTGACTTCAGAAAGCTGAATCTGGGTGACAGTGGATGGATCATTCAATAATTGCCCTGTGCAGTTCATTCTCTCTCAAGCATCTAGCACTGGCCACTGTTGGAAGACATGACATGGGGGTGCCTCTACATAGCAAGGCTTAATTCGAAATAAGCTACGCAAATTGAGCTACTTCAACTACATAGCTTATTTAGAAGTAGCTTATTTCAAAATTGGGAGTGTTTACACAGCACTTATTTTGAAATAGAGCACTCTTCTTCTGACTTCCGCCACTCCTCATACAAGAAGGGTTACTGGAGTTGGAGTCTTCCAGCTTGACAATATTTCAACATTATTTCAAAATAACTGCCTGCTGACTGAGTTATTTCAAAATAACGCTAATTATTTTAAAATAATGTTTCTGTGTAGACGTACCCTGGGCTAGACAGACAATTGGTTTGAACAGGTATGGCTGTACTAATGTTCTTATCTTTTTTTTTTTTAATTATAGGAACATATATCATTTGAAGAAGTTGTGATACATTCTCATGACCAACAGTGGAATCAAACTAAACAGACATTACTATGCATTGCGTGAAAAGAAATTGTGATTGTAAATTAATTGCTGAGAATGTTACGTGGCCATACTTCGCATTTATTTAAAAAACAATATTACTTTAAAAGTTTTTCTTCTCTAGTTCTGTAGAAAGCTACAAGCAGAGCTATGACCTATACTTTTGCTGAAGTATAGTTATGGAACAATCATTAAGATGAAAATGAACAAACTTAATAACTTTTGATGCCTAGGAAGAACAAAATTAAAAGCTATATGAAGTCCAGATGTCACACAGCCAAATGCAGCAGACTCCCCACAAGGAAATACTCATAGTGCACTAACATTTTAAATGATCAATTTAAGCATTTAAAATGTAGCAGTTTTGTACTCTTGCACTCTCACGTATATCCAAACTACACTGAGTGCAAAGCCATCTCTTCTTTTATGGGTTTTTTGCCTCATGTAACTGATAATAAGACAGTTAATGATCAAGTAAAGACACGTTTGCACACATTTCTTTGGTAATACAGTATAAGGAATCTTTTTCAACACTAACATGATGCTTAACTATTTCTACTGGCCTTGCAACAGTATAGTTGCTGTGTGGCCTAAGCACTTCATATTTCAGGCTCAGTGCTAGAAACCGTATCACTCAAACTGCCCACTGATTAAACTACTATCACAGATAATCCATATGGCTTGTCTTCTTTATTACTAACATAATTCAATTTAAATAATAATATTTACTGATTTTGAGCCAAATATTCTAAGGGATTAAAACTATAGGATTACTCATAGAAGTTTATGTGTTCCACAAAATTACAAATTTGAATGCAGATAGGCCATCACATAAGCAAGTTGCTCAATTTTTTTGTGAAAAAAAGTGTTTTGCAGGTGCATATATCATTCCCTTTGAAAATCTACCCCTTAAATTTACAGCAACATAAACGTTAGCTTAAATTTCACATTTATACTGAAGTTTCTTGGACACGAAAGGACTTGATGATCAAAGGACATACATAGTTATTGTGAAGAATGGCAAATTACTCAGATAAATCCCGACCTATTGGCCTGATAACCTATTTTCACAAGAAAACCAGGAAAAGGAAGGTTAGTGGGAAAATACCACAACAACGTTTTCCTTCCTAAGAATGTGCTCCTTTTCTTTTGTCAGGAGACGAAAGAGGATAAATTGGAGTCCAGGTTTTATCCCTTGCAGATCGGCATATGTATTGGCCACCAGTCCCAGGGCTGAATCCCTAGGAATCAGTGGGAGACTTCATCCAGCTATGTGGAGGTTCCAAAGGGGGCTTGGAGAGGAGGACTATGTCCTTCGTGGTCCCATCTCACATGGATTCTAGCACCCATGTTGCACCCTTTGGCGGGAACTCACTTCCCTTCCTAATAGGGGCAAGGAGATGTGCAGGTGGATCCATGAGGTAACTAAAAAGTGGAACATTATCATGAAAATATATTACAAAAAGGATTATATAGTTTGGTTACAATATTTATTAATATAGTTTCATGTGACTGCATTATGACCCTCTAGGAGCAAGTACAATGCAATCTAGAGGCTTATGCAATATTTCTTCATAGAAAGTATCTAAAATGTACGAATTAAATTTAATCTCTTCCATTGCAGTGCTCAAAATTCTTGACTGGTGTACCTCAAGAATAGGATTTTCAGAAGTATTTAAGTCTCATTTACAAAATTTACAAGTGATTTAAAAGTTTATAGGGTACAATTTCTAAAGCACCTCAGAGACTTAGGAGAAAATGTTACATGTAGGCTCCTAAATCATGTAGGTGCTTTTGGAAATTTTACTCTAATGTTTTACTGATTAACAAAATCCCTAAAAGTTACCTTTACTTTGGTTTGACTCTTAAACTATATTTAATTTGCTATCATAAGTAATGGAAATAATGGATGCTGAAAATGAATGTTTTCAATTTAAATTAATATTCTTGGGCAGTTATAAATACCGATTTAAAAGTTGAAAAGTCACATTAAATAATAATACTACAATAATGTTATAAGGTGTCAATAGCATTCTGATAAATGTTGTTTTCAGCTCTAATATTTGTTAAAAGCCTTCTAAGTGAAGTTGGATTTTTCCAATGTTCAACCATTTTTGTGAGACAGAAAATGAAAACATTTGCTATATAATTTATAAGTTAATTGTTCTTGAATTTTTTTAAACTACAGGGTATTTTTCAGAAATTATTCATCAAGATCAGATGTCTTTAGATGAGTACTGACAAAAATTAGTTCCCTCAGAACACACATTCTTACCTCAACAATATCTGAATTCGTTCGACTCTCATGTGGCTCATTGTACTCTGTATATTTCAGCAACACTTTGTCCATATCAGTGCTGGCATACTGGAACAGTTTGTTGGTGCTGTTGAAGATGATTAGAGCAATCTCACAGTCACATAGAACACTCAACTCATAAGCCTTCTTCATTAACCCAAATTTCCTCTTTGTAAATGTCACCTGGAAAAAGGAAAACAGGTCTGTCAAAAATCCCTGTCTCTTTTCTATTGACCTTTTTCTTTTTATGAAGTTCTAACTTGCAATTGCTATAGTCTATGAGCTTTAGTAAATTCAGACTAAAAATAAATACATCTAAACATAGTTGCAACTTAGAATACAAATATCTGTCTGCTAAGTAAATGAGGTAAATGCATACAATCCTCAGTGCACAATTCAAGCTATAGAAAGTTAAAAAAAAAATATGGGGCACGTCCATTAGTTGAGATGCAAATTTTTTCTGTCTCATTAACCAGTTTAAAATATTGGCTCTAGATTTTTCCAAAATATTGAATTCAGTAAATCTGAATTAAATTTAATTCACTTAATCTTTTGCCCACACCTAAGCTATCATGTTTATTCTGCATTGTTGCCTTTGGCAACCACCTCCCAACATTTTAAAATTTCATCTCAGTTATGCAGTTCTAGAAAACTTTTAACAAAAGATTCAACCTATGATTATTCAACAGATATTAATTCAAATTTAATATCCCCAATGTGTCTATCGGTAATATGAAAAGTTGTATCACAAATTTAATTAGTCAAAAAAGATGATTTGATGTAGAAATGCACAGATTTAGAGCTGTTTTGAAAAATGTCCAAATATATATATGTGTCAGAGAAAATCCTTTTCATTTCTCTCTCAAGTTCTCAAGTGGTAGTACAATGAAGAATATAAATCAGGAGTGAAGAACAAGTTATATAAGTACTGACTAACCAGCAATATATATGCATTACTGAGGTGAGTTCTTATCCATACATATCTGTGGACACACACTATTAACCTCAAAAGAGATACTTAGGCAGAAGCATTTCTAATACAATCAAAGGATTCCAGTCACATTATTTTGATAAATTAGAGATGCATATATATGGTCTCAGTGCGGGCAAGTCAGCAACTGCTATGAAACTTAATGCAAAATCTATGTATTATGAAGACCTGCAAATAAAAACTGAATTTCTTTCTCAACTGCTTTGCAAATTTTCAGTGATACATACACATCTTAATATATGAGTTTCTTACCATGAGACAACTAATCTGATATTAAGAACTGAATTGTTTCTGTTTTTTCTTGTATGTGTTTTTCACTAAACAGATAGATATTTTATTTTTAATATTTATTTTCCTCTATAGTCATTTTTGAGATGGATTTTAAAGGTGATCAAACATATGGTATTACTAAAACAGTGATCAGTCAAATAAAATATGTTGTGAAGGTATTTGGCACAATTTAAGGACAAGCACTAACCAGGCATTACAGAGTTGCTTAATCTGACAGTGCTACCAATTCTTTAATAGCGTCAGTAAAGGTACTTCTGCACATGGTTCATCACTGAGGCAAAAACAAAAAACAAACAACCCTCTCTGCCTCCAAACCATTGTACATGATTCATAAGGATGTTGTTTTATCTTGTTATACTCCTAATGAAAGCTAACACTAACTGCAATCCCAATCTCCCTTTAAATCCGAGCTGGTCATGCCATGGAAAGTGTGACATTTAAATATTTCTAATCTCTACCAGCCAGTTTATCTCAAAAAGATGTGGCTGGATGCCGATGCACTGTACAATTATTCTTCACAACCGGCAATGAATGACATCACTTTTATTGTTGTCCCAATCATTATAACACCTTTATAAAATACTATTAACAACAAACAGATTATTAAATGTGATTATCCAAGCATTTTTTCAAAAACTGTTTGCATAGCATTAGACTTGAGTCTATAATTTTGTCGTGGTATTAAGGTATTAAGACATATGTAAATAGGTATGGTCCAGCTGGCTTTTGTTATTTGGCATGATTTCTCAAATATGTAGTCAAAAACACATCTTACCATTGAAAAATTGACCAGTCTTTCAAATACCTTTTAAACACTTTGCTTGAAGAAAATTATGATTCAAGGTTATACACAGTAATATGAACATCGATACAGTTTTTTTAGAAAAGGCTAAACAAGTATGGATCACATGCAGAGGAGAGAATGTACTAACCGGACACATTTTTCTGCATCTAAAACTATTTTCAATCAGACTAGTTGACCACAGTACTGTAGGTGGAGTGTATCTATACAGTATGGTTTCTGTTGCACAGAAACCTCAGAATTTAGCATGTTACAGCTCCTCACCATCAAAGTATACTTCAGCACAGAAATATCTTTAAAGCTACTGTTTGTGTTTACTGTTAGGTGCTCCTGAACATTTTGGGTAACCACACAGATGTGCTGCATAGCACATACTTATTTCATAACACTTATAAAAAAAGATACTACATATAGTGCCTTTTCATGAACACTGAAAATATAAAGGACAACAGATAAGCTGGAGCTTTTTAAACTTTTCTTTAAAATGTAATCTTAATTGCTCTGAATTTAATTCCCTATTATCTCCATGCTCTTTTTAACAGTCTCCAAATGTATTATATAATGCTTTTTGCCATTGTTCGCAGACATATAAAAACAATTGTATCTATTACTGTTTCTAAAGCGATCTAGAATATTACCTTTCTTTTTAAAATATGCCACTCATTGACTGATTGCAATTCAGAGCTTTTGCACTTATACCTAATAAGGTATTATAATAATGTAATTTCTTATAATTCTATAGTGGTTTGCAATAGGGATGAGCTTATGTATTTAATAACTGTGCAGTAGGGTCAAGACCTTCAGAAGAGATGAAAAATACTTTTTAAAGTATTTAAAATTTATCCTTCTTTCGTATAATTCCTTTATGTAGCTACAACAAGAAAAACAATGCATTCATTTATCCCCTAAAATATTCAGGTGAATAATATGAACAAACAACAAATATTCTATTTAACTTGTATTTTGTGTCCAACATATTGCTAACTATATACACCTAAATTAAAATTTGCTAGCAAATACTAAGATGATAGATGAAATATTTTAGTACTGCAGTGATTTTACTAAGTATTAAAGATTGCAATAAATTATTAAAAATATGTTGCCTCTATGTCTAGGTGCAAGCCATCCTGAAATCTATACTTGGAACTCTGTGATTCTGTACTTAAGAAATAAATTTTACTTGTGCTATATTAATAACATGAATAAAATACATACACTTCTTAAACACAGTTGCATACACACAAATTATTGTATTAAAAAATTGTAACCGGTTGTATTAAGAAAGGGTTTTACTGTAACATTTCACAATCCAAATCTGATCACTTCATCATGGCTAAAAATAATTTAAAAGGAATAATTTTGACAAGGGATTAGGAACTCAGATAGTACCAACACTGAAAGGAACAATCTCTCAGGAAGGCTCTTATAATGTAAAAGATATGTTTCATTTTATAGATGGAAAAACATACCTGTGTTTCCAGTTTACACACATTTAAAAATAAAACTGATCTTTTTGCACATACACACACAAAATAACACGGATTTTCATGATATCAGATTAATATTACATGAATTTTTCAGTAGTACAGATTGAATAGTTTTGATAACTGATCAAACTGTAACCTGCTAACTGTAACCAAAGACTAGCTAATTAATTAATTAATTAATTACTCAGTGAACCTGCGGTCCAAAATTGATTTAGGACATGCTTTATTCTTTCTGCTTTCTGGATCAGTAGATGTCTAGTACTGTCCTCAAGTTTCCATATTTTTTGTTATTGTCAGGAGATTTATCAGACTCTTACTAGGCAATCTGTGAGGTCCTAGCCTCATGGACGAGTCTATGATGATAGTAAGACTATCAGGGAATCAAGGGAAGCATGGAAGTTTTGAGAAACGTAAAATGGCTGCCTGAATGAGATCAGCATTTATCCACGTTTAAAAGCCTCTCACGCATGAAATACACAATAGAAAAGCAAATGCCAGTATTTTTAAGTTTTCAAAAGTACAGTTCTATAAGTACTGTGTAACCAGTGTGGCCAAGCAGTGTTTCAGAATGTAATGTGCAAGGAACGGAGCATGTATTTGTGCAGCAAATCAAGTTGCTCGTGTTCTACATAAGCTCTGAATACAGCTTGCTTGATTTATTTGGAGCCTGCTTTTCAATGCAGATGAGCCCAAGGACTTTCACTAAACACGATGATGTCTAGCACCTCAGAAAATCAGGTCCTAAAAGTAAGGAAGTTTAAATGCAGACAACTGTCCAGGCTTTGAGCAAACCACATGCTTGTTTTAAATATTAAAGAAACCAAAGAAAGAGTGAAAAATCCAGTTCCTAGTTTGCCTCCCATGAGTAAAGGTTAGGTATTTGTGCATTTTGGACCATATTCTGGCCAGAGGTTAAACTTTGGTCCATGCACAAGAGGGAAAGCATGGTCAGGGGGGGGGGGGGGAGGACATTTTCCAATCTATTTCTAACTCTCCTCCTGTAGTCTAATGGACTACAAAAAGACCTGCAAGCTTTCTAAGGCCAAAATGGTGAAGGAGCTTTCTTAGGCACAGTTTTGGGATCAGGGACTGTGATGTCCATGAAGGGGGCTATAGCTAACCAGAATACAGGTGCACATTCACACTGCTTCACAGCTGAGATATGCTCTCACTAGGAAGATAATTTAGCACAGTGCCAGAATTTGGCATTTTATTTGTGGTGAGTAATGTTTGTTTAAATTAAATACATTAGGAGATCTGATTTTGTATATAAGTCCTTTCACATATTTGAATGAATAATGCAAAGTGTACATGTGCTTTTTCCACTCAGACACTGTACCAACAGACGGAGTAATGGAAAAAAACAGCAATCTAGTGTCAATTGTTTTTATTTATCTAAAATTATAACAGAATTGTTGTGCTGCTTGTAGATGTGAATGGCACAGCATAAGAGCAGTAATCAATGCTGAGAGGTAGAAGCTTTAACTCTACTGATTTAGCTTATGACCTGTCTCTGCTACACTGATGCTACATTGTTTTCCTCTGGACTCTTTCATGCTTGACTTCTAAATCTAAGAGATTGATTGTGAGTGACTGGCCTGTAATAGCAATA